TAACACATACACATGTCATAGGATACACATGACATAGGATAGAGTAGTGTGATAAAATTTGACTTAATAGAAAGAACAATAATATATATATTATTTTATTTTTGGTAGGAGAAAAATAGCTATTATCAAATAAATTAAGAGAGAGAGAGACGAAACTCAATCATGCATAGCCTACCACTCTCTCTCTCACTATGTGGACGGCAGGGATATTTAAGAACTTTCCAACAAGGATAAAAAAGATAAAACTAACATCAAAATATATATAAAAAAAATAATTGAATAGCAAACACACGTGTGCTCTAATTTCTCCTCTATATATACCTACTTCTCAACTATTTAAAGCTTATTACACCTCCTTTAACCACAAAAGATATTTAAAGCATTACTTGTCTCTTTGTGATTCATCCTCACTCCATCCTTTGTTCCAAAGAAGATGGAGAACATTGGTGAAGAAGAGAAGTGTCTAATAGGTAGGTTAAGTTGAATTTAGAAAGATTAAAATGGATTGAATTAGAAATTGATTTGAGTTATGACTTGCTCAAATTTATTTTAGGCTAAGATGAGTTGGGCTCAAATGGATTAAAAATCAAGTTGGATTATAATCCTCTTAATCTCAAGAATTTTAATATATTGTTACTTACTTTTTGTAATCATAATTTAAATTCTAACTGAAGAATTTTTTTTTAAAAAAAATAAGTTCTTGGTTTTGAAGAGGTAAGTTATGAAAATTATACCAACCAAATAAAAAAATATTTAAGATGATTCACATAACAAGTATATTATGAAAAAAATAATGTTTAACTTCTTTCGGTTATTTTGATCATAGAAAAGTAAAATTTTAATTTATAAAATAGAAAGAATGGATAGATAAATCTTAGAAGATATAAAGTAGATAATAATTCATACATATAATACGGGAACATATATTGCATCAATATAATAAAGAGTCTTAAAATTGATTGAATATGGCTAAAGTGGGTGCAATTGAAGATCCTTTTAAAATCATTGGTTGAGATTGAACCAATTCAAATTATCTTAAGTCTAACTCATTAAATTCTAAATGAATTGGTCAGATTACCTATATTTGAGTTTATTTTGACAGTCTTAATGAAGAGTATAATAATTAGGAAAAACTACCTTGTTAGACAAACATCTCTACCATATTTACTAAATCTCCTTATAGTTTGAAATAATTACAAATTGCTTCACTAATTAATAATTTCATACTAGAGTTCAAGTCAAATACACCTAGATATATGCATTTTTGCTATCAGATACACTAAAATAGGGAGAGGCGCAAGCGAGATAGTAGGAAGGCGAATGAGATAGTCTATGTATATCATATACATGCGAATCACACTAGATACATGTATTTGAGATACTGGATACACGAATCTGGAATACCAGATACAAAGAGAGAGGAGAGTGGCGAGCGAGATAGAAGAGAGGCGAGCAAGAAAGTTAGATACATGCAAATTCACTTGAATACAATGTATCTAGAAAAGTTACATTTAATTTTAATGTTATGTATCCCAAATACAGGTATCTAGATGTATTTGGACGCGTTAGATACATATATCTGAAGTCTAAAATTTGGTAAGATTCATAATAATACAAAGTAGTATGAATCTAAAATATTAACTTTTAAGCTAGTGAAATTTTTGTAAGTTACCCAATAATTATTGGAAAATAACAAGTTCTTACAATCGGAAGAACTCGATAGGTAAACTTTAATTGATGCTCTCTTTTGATTAGTATTTTTTTTTCTAGTTGGATGCTCGAATTGTTCGTATTCTTTTTCCAATTTTTTTTGTTTTCTTCTTGGAGCAGGAGCACCAAGAAATGGACAAAAATCTTTTTTGAAGTGATAGTAAATAGGAAAAATAATACTTTGTTGATATAAGAAAGATTTTATATATTGACAATCTAACTCGATGTAATATGTCAATTACGCTTTTTGTAGGTTATCTATTTTTATTTGACATAGACAAATATATAATTAATTTTTAAATGATCTATTAGTATGGAGTAATATTTTACAGTACATTCATTAAACTTTGAGAAAGAAATTATTACTACTAGCAAGTTGGTGGTTTTGGTTCAAGAAGATGCTAAGGGGTCTTTTGATACACGAATCAAATTATTTTTGAATTAATTTATTTTATTTAGAAGGGGATAAAATAATTTCATGTTGAATAGAATGAGATAAAAAATTAAAGATTAAGTTTGAAATTAACTCTATATTATATTTGATTGATAACATAAATTTATATCGTCAATCAAACGCAATATAAATTTAATTTCGAATTTAATATGAGATATCCATCAAACAACTATTAAAAGATTAACGTTACTCGGATGCTTTTGTAATTGTATAGGCTTTTTAATTTGGAAAAGGAAGAAAACCATAATAAACATTTCATGAGATCTTAGTAGCTCAATTAATTAGTTGAGTATCTCAATTTTTATTTAGTTGGTGAGGATTTAATTTTCTACCTTGCAAATTCCTCCCCTATTTTCCCTTCCCTAAATTTTATCTGTTGATTTTTTTTCTTTTAAAAAAAGGATATCTATTTAAGTAAAAACGATGTTTGTGCAAATACAAAAGATCTTGTAGAAATGTGATACCCACGCTCTTAAGGTTCAAGTAAACCAAGTGTAGCATAAATATTTAGTAGGCATTTAGACATGTGATATAAAATTGCGATATGAAATCATGATATGAAATTAGCGTTTGGACGTGCAATTTCATGTTGATTTCATATCATGAGATGAAATCATATTCTCCAAAAAAAAACATGATTTGATATTTTTTAAATATAAAAATTAACCCACAAGTTTATATTTTTGTACAAAAAAAACTCCACATATATATCTACTAATCATTTATTTCATATGTAAATAAAATTTATAATTCATATCATTACTTTTCAAACCATTTATATCTCATATAATAATTATTCTCACTAACATAGAATTTATTACTTCAAATCAATTTCTAGTCTACCATTTATATTCACCAAATTCATTATTTTATATCAAATATATTTACCAACCAAATTGACCAACAAATGACTCAAACTAACAATGTTGGTTCATTTTCTCAATCATATGAACGAGAAATACAAGTTCAACGTGAGAAGATTGTTTGTATTATGTTGGAGGAATATATATATATATATATATATATTAAAGAATAGTACACCAAAACTCATGTTTAATTTTATTTTTTGATTGAATTAAAATTTGACCAATAAATATTGTATTTTTTAAGAATATCTTTGTGATAGTGTATTATGCGAGTTTATAACTTATTTGGTAAGATTGTATAAAGAATTGAGACAGTTTTAATAGTTTTATAACTTATGAGTTTTTTTATGTTTAAGAGAAAACATACTAACATAAAAAGTTCAATTCGTTTGTCCAAACAAAACTTTAACTTCATTTCATGGTTTATATCATGATTTCAAATTATGATTTCATATATCGCATGGCCAAACGGACCTAAATTATAACTCCTTAGGTTTTAATTCCTTTTGGAGAAAATCTATTATCTGATATGTAATAGGTTTATACACAATATAAAATCACGAATTACCCCTTTCTAAAAGGGATTAACAAAAGACAAGCACTTAAATATTTAAATTATTTTATTTCTTTTAATAAATTTGATAAATTATTTAATTGCACTGTCGAGACAATATCTGGATCAGTTTTCCAAACAAACTTATAATATGAACTATATTGATGGTTAGGCCAAAAATTACAATGGATCAATATTTTGATAAACTAATACATGGTCCAATATTTTTTCTCAAGGATGTGGGGCCATTTGATAATTTGACGCCCTATTAAGAAAGTAATATTTATTGGTCCACTTGATAAAAATAAAAGTTCGATTATGTGCTTCGGATGGTTTGGTAGTTAGTTAAGTTTATGTAAATATTAGTAATGTAAAAATTAGTAATAAATAATTTATGTATTATTTTATGTAGATATATATTAGCTATGTAATGATTAATTATTTTGTATTTGTGATTTCATATTTTATTCTACATAAAATAATTTATATATTTCATCATAACTTATACATATATTAGTTAAATGAATTTCTAAATCATCAATCAAATATTATATTAATTTTATTTATAAATACCTTCTTCCTAATCTTCTTATCAAATATAATATAAGTTATATAAAATTATTATATAGATAAGTTGTTTCTTGACCAGCTAACAAATCACCTCGTAATACATTAATATGGGATAAGGTGACATTATTTTATTGTCAATGATTGGCAGTAAAACCCAGACTGTCCTCTTTGAAATTACTCTCCTTTAGTTTGTACTCCATCTTCCTAAGTCTCTTTTTACTTGTTTAATTTTAATTTTTTATTTGATTCAATTTACTTGTTATTTTTTGATAAATCAAGAAAATATATTTTATTTATTATATTCTCAATTTATTTAGAGAGTTAATGTTTTTTAAAAGGTAGAACTTATTTAATAAGTAAATTTATTTGAGAATTCTATCAATTAATACGAGTAAAATGATAAAGTTATTTTTCTAATAAGTATGTCAAGTAAAAAATGAACAAGGAAATAGAAGACTCCCAAGGAAGTAGTTTTTTTTAAGAAAATGTATTATGCTCACCTAATAAACGTGAATTTGTCAAATTCCTTCTAAATTTGCATACTGAAAATTACATAATAAGATTCATACAGTTGAATATATATATATTTTTTGTTTGGGCATGAAATAAAAATAGTTATAATAAGTTAAGATAGAGTAACAAAATTCAATGAGACACATATCATCAACTATGCGGCCTACCACACTCTATGTGGACGGCAGGGATAAATAAGAGCTTTCCAAGAAAGATTAAAAATAAAATTATTTAAAACTATAAAATTAAAATATAAAAAATAAAAATAAAAATTGAACACGTGCTCACTTTTCTCCTCTATATATACTACTACTTACCCTTCTTCTCATATTTTAAAGCTCACACCCACTTTAACCACAAAAAAGATATTTAAAGCATAACTTGTCTTGTTGTGCTTAATCTTCACTCCACCTCGATGGATAACATTGGTGATGATTATAAAAATTATTGGGAAACAACCATGTTCTTACAATCGGAAGAACTCGATAGGTAAACTTTAAATTGATGCTCGAAGAACTCTGTTTTTTTTTTGTTTTTCTTGTGTTAATTTTACTTGAATGAATGTAGCTATTTCGATGAGCCAATTTCATCGTATTATGATTCAAGTTCGCCGGATGGGTCACAGTCATCGATGGCATCGAAGAACATTGTATCAGAAAGGAATAGGAGGAAGAAGTTGAATGAGAGGTTATTTGCACTTAGAGCTGTGGTCCCAAACATAAGCAAGGTGAGTAGACTAATTGAAAACACCATGAATAGTGGTTTTTAGATTATTTGCTTTTACTTAATTAATTGGGTTGGGGGTGTTGACTTTTTGGGTTCAGATGGATAAAGCTTCAATAATCAAAGATGCAATTGATTATATTGAAGAATTGCATAAGCAAGAGAGAAGAATTCGAGGAGAAATTTCAGAGCTTGAATCTGGAAGATCGTCAAAGAAGAATAGTAGTACCGATCTTGAATTTGAACAAGATGAAAGTTTTGATTCAAAGCCTAAAAGATCGAGAAGATTTGAGATGCAGTATGGATATGATTCTTCAGGATCAACTACAAGATCACCACCATCTTCTTCCCCTGTTGATGTTCTTGAGGTAATTAATTGATTAATAATGTCTCTCACATGTTTTTCTTTTTAGTCCGTTCTGAAAAAAAAAAAAAATTGTTTTAAAAATTGGGGTTGCAGTTGAGGGTATCTTCAATGGGAGAAAAGACAGTGGTGGTGAGCCTTACTTGCAGCAAAAGAACAGACACAATGGTAAAAGTTTGTGAGGTGTTTGAATCTTTGAATATCAAAATAATTAGTGCAAATATCACTGCTTTCTCTGGGAGGCTTCTCAAGACAGCTTTCATTGAGGTAAACACAATCTTTTTCTTTACTTTTCTCTGTTTTTTGTTCCCTTGCTTTTTCCACTAATGGAGGAAAATATTCTTGTTTTTAAAAGAAAATTCATTTTGGTTGGTTAAATTTGTTGAAAAATATTTTGTTAGAAAAAAAATTACTTATTGAAGAAATAAGAAAAATGGCTTTCCAACATAGAAAAAATAAATTTCACAAGTGATATTAAATTTTGGCTATAGTTTATTTTACGTCCTTTTAACACATTTTATCTTCACCCATACCCTATAGCCTCATCCTTACAACCCGACACCTGACACCTCTATCTCAGTTCAGTCACCTATATTGTTCATTAGATTATATACAAATAGTTTAGGATAATATATTTTTTTTATTTACATATTGAATTCAAAAAAAATATATACATATATATAAGAAATTACCTGTTTTCTTACAAAATATTTTTTAATAAAACAATTTTCTTTTATTTTTGAGTTGCTCCCTAGTAAGATAGTATATGCTTTCGCCTTTAATTACAACATCCAAAAAAAATCAAAAAAGCATATTAGTTGTTTCTTTATACTTTACTTGGAGTTGATCTAATTATAGATCCCTCTATTTTGTATTTGCTTTCGATTTCAATAATAATCCCCTAAAAAATCAAGACAACATATCAATTATTCCTTTATACTTTACTTGAAGTCGATAAACTTATAGATCCCCATGTGTTGCATTGAATTCGTCCATATCTCTTCTATTTGGGAGTGATTGCTTCTAAAATTTATACGGAGTAATTTCTTCAAACATCCAAAAGTCAAAATTTACATGTGCATTCATGTCATATAAATTAAGGATTAATCGGACTAAGGTCCATTTATAAAAAAAAAAAATACCATGCTAAAATGTTGAATATTTAATAAATAAAAACATATATTGTATTTCCATTGCGTAAGCTTATGGTTGATGTTTTGAGGTGACAGTAAGTAATATTTGGTCGATTTTAGAAAGATTTTATATATTGATAATTTAATTCAATGTGATATGTCACTTCCACTTTTTTGCTAGTTATTTATTTTTATTTCTTTTGATATAGACAAATATATAATTAATTCTCAAATGACAAATATATATTTTTATTTGTTTTGACATAGACAACTTAATTATGAAATATCCTTACTTATCAAACGATCCCTAACATATCAAAGTTACTCTCAAGAAGGCCTTCAAAATTGCATAGACCTTCTTAATCCGAAAAATTGGAGAAGGAAAAAAATCACAATAAACATCTCATAAAAATTTTAATAGATCAGTTAATTAGTCATCTAAGCTTTACTTAATTGTTGAGAGTTTGATTCTTCCCCGTGCAAATCGATCTCCTATTTTCCTTACCCCAAAATTTTATTTTTAATTTTTTAAAAAGGAGATCTATTTACATAAAAATGTTGTTTGTGCAAAAGACAAATTTGTGGATCGTGATATCCACGCTCTTAAGGTTCAAGTGAACCAAATGTAGCATAAATCTTTTTTTTCCCTGATATCATGATTGGCCATATGCCATACACAATATAAAATCAAGAAATTCCCCTTTTAAAAAGGAATTAACAAAAGATAAGCACCTAAATATTTACATTATTTTATTTTAATAAATTTGATAAATTATTTAATTGAATGGTTGAGACAATATGTAGATCAATTTTCCAAGCAAACTTATAATATGCATTATATTGATGATTAGGCCAAAAATAATCCACGAATCAATATTTTGAAAACTAATACATGGTCCAATATTTTTGTCAAGGATGTGGGGCCATTTTATAATTTATGTTCCTATTAAGAAAACAATATTTATTGGTCCACTTGATAAAATAAAAATAAAGTTCAATTAGTGCAGTACATTATTATAGGGTAAGATAGCATTATTATATTGTCAATGATTAGCAGTAAAATCCAGACTGTCCTCACAGTAATAAACGTGTGTATGCCAAAATTCTTTTTAAATTACATACTGAAAATTACATAATCATATTTATTTAACGTCAATAGTTCTAATTATTGGAGAACGATTTTTTTTTTTTAAAAAAAAAAAACTCTTTGATCATTTGATGTCAACACGTATTGTATTTATTCTATTTTTACAGTTATTTTGAACAACCTAATCATTTGGCTAGGACATAACGATCTTTCAAGTCTATAATCATATGTATAGTACTTCGTCCATTTTAATTTATTTTTAACATGACATGAACTTTTAAAACTTGTTATCGACTAAATATATACCTAATATCTATAGTCACTTTGATTTCTCTTTTTTTAGGCTGATGAAGAAGAGAGGGATCTTTTGAAGTTGAGGATTGAAACAGCTATAGCTTCTCTAAATGATCCAGATAGCCCGATGAGTTCTTAGAACAACAATAGCTTGGATTTTAACTATGTTTCGCCTTCATGTAATGAGGATGTAGTTTTTGAAGAGTGTTTTGTTCCACGTTATTTCTACCTCGTTCTTCTTCTTAAAGTTTGGTCATCTTTGACTGGCTATTTATGTAGTTTGTAGGTGGTGTTTTTCACAAGAAATCTAAGTCAATGAAAGTCTACCTTCATGTCCCTTTCTAACATCTTGTCTAAATTTACATAAGTTTTCAAACACACAATGCATGCCTCATTAATGTTTGATTCAGAATAACAATTGAATTTATATTAGAGAATCAATCACACGTGGATTAATTAAAGAGAATGATCAAGTGATCGATGTGTAAATACTAAATTTCAAAAAAATGACATGGTGCGAAAGGAGACAAGGAAGTTATTTTTATAGAATATTTCTCGATGTAATTAATTTTTTACGATGTCATCAAAAAACGATAATTTGAGAGCCTTTGAGTTTGAGTTACAACTAAGAGTTTAATATTGCTATTATGATGAGAATCAGATTGGTTACAAGTGAGGGGAACTTATAATTTAACCCTCAGTAATGTCTTGAGTATATTTTTTAGGCCCTGCTTGAGAGAATCTTGAATTCTCCGAGAATAGTTACTCTACAAATAAAGCTTATCTGGACCGATAATTGATAAACTTTATTTTTTATCACATTGCTCTAGAACTAGATGACCTACATATATCATTGCTCCAGACCTTCATAGAAGCAACCTTACCAGGTACGACTTATGCTCATGTCCGATGTTATTGCTGGTGAGTTAGATCTAACTAGATTTTAATTGTCACGCATCACTGATACATCAAGTTTGCATCCTATGCACAAACCTCTTTGATTAACTCAAGTATAACGATTTCTTTAAGAAACTTTGTGTATTCAATATCTTCTCACCAATCAAAATATGGTTACCTACTACTTAGGGACAACTTTCAATCAAAAGGGCCGGCTTTCCTCAGGAAAAAGACAAATCATCTCAAGTGAGTGTGAGCTTGCTTTTGGTTATATACTATAGGATTACTTAAAACATAACTCTAATTATAGTAAGATAATAATTTTTTTAATTATAATCAATTGTCAGTGATAGAATATGTGCATCCACTATCGGTCAACGGACTGGGTCCCTTGACTCAGCAAGAACAGTAATGAAGCGCAAACAACAACCAGAAGACAACACAAGCAATTTACGTGGAAACCTCTGTAACGACCCGCAAAATGGTAGGTTGATCTAGAGCCTAAACGTGAGAGTCAACGTCAAGGTACATGTTAGACTCCGTAGTTGAAGGACTTTCTAAGGTTGGTTAAGGGTTGCAAGGGCAAGTGCCAAGTCAAGGGGGCAAGGCCTAACCCAAAGGCCAAGGCTGTCCAACCTTGGCCAAGCACTGCCCCAAGTCCACGAGCCACTTCACGGCCAGTGGTCTTGACCACAGTCCGTAGAAGTGGCCGTGAAGAAGACTTAGCTTAGTGGGAGTCAAGGCCTTGAGGCCAAGCTACTGCCCCAAGTCCACGGACCACTTCACGGCCAGTGGTCTTGACCACGGTCCGTAGAAGTGGCTGTGAAGATGCCTTGGCCTCATGAAGGCTTGGCAAGTGAAGGGAGCCACTGCCAAGAGGACCACGGGCCGTGGTTCCCCTTCACGTACCGTATAACTGGGCGTGGTCCCTAACAAGGCTACCCAAGTTAGGGGTTTTTAAGTAATTTCGTTTTAATTATTTAAGGTGTGGGGATGATTTTAAATGGTTTATATCATAAATATATATAGTTTTTAGTCTTTAAACACTTCATTTATTCCTTTATTTCAAAACACCCAAATCAAAACCCCAAAGTTCTTCTTCTCCCAAAAATTCTCTCTCTAAACTCAAGGAAGAAGAAGGGAGCCATTGAAGCTAGGGTTTGTGGATTCAAGGTGTTTCTTCCTCAAATTTTTGTGGGGAATCAATATCAAGGTATGGTAATCCTTCATCTAGGGTTAGTTTTCACCCTAGAGTCAAAGTTTTCAAGTTTCATGAAAAACCCTAAGTTTCACTCAACCGCATGGGTTCTTGCATCAAACGTTCAAATGATAACTATGATTATATGGATGTTTAATTGATGATCTAAGATGATTTTACTCTATGAACTCATGATTTCTCTCAATTCCTAAATTGTGACTTATGAAGTGGGTTTATTGATTATGAATGAATGCTGGTGGATTTATGCTTAGATTGATTTGGACAATTGAATTGTTGATCCACTTGAAAGGTGGAGGTGTTTAATTACTTTATCTATTGTGATGATGGCCTTGAAGGCATAGTTTGATGAATTGAAGTATTATCATGATATTGTGTATGAGAACCTTGATTCATGGAATACTTTCCTCCATGAAGCCCTCTCAACTCAATTTCGAAAATGGGTTTTATTGTTCAAAAACTAGGGTTTTCATTCTAGTCATGGGTTTTTCCTAAAATCGTTTTCATTATGTTATTTGATGTATATTATGGATGATTTGACATTTTAATGGTGATATTATAGTAAAATTCCCTATGAACCCATGAATTACCCCATGACCCCAATTTCATAAATTTCAATGAAGGTATTGATGCAATGTGATTTGTACTATGTATTGTGGTTATGTTAATTTGGTTATGAAACCTTGCCTTATTCATGTTGATGATAGTATATCCTAAATGTAAGTGTGAGACTTGGTTCATGACCTTGTAAGGGGTAAATTGTGAAGGATTGTTGATGATTGTTGATAGTTATTGATGAACTTATGAACTCATTTGAAAGATGAGAATCCTATGACTATTGTGTGAATTGAGGTGTTGTTGGAAGATTAATTTCCCCTATCCTTACACATGTTTATGTATAAATTGTCTAGGATGATGTTGATGTTGTTGTGTTGATTGAAGGGCTAGTTCTCATGAAAACACTATGAATAAGGAGGTGAAAGTTACTCACCCTAAAATGATGATTCTAAGGTGAAAGGTAGTTCTCACTTAAATGAATCTATGAGCTATTTAGTGAATTGTATTGAACGAAGGGTAAAGTATTCCTTCACACATGTAGATACAATTCCATACCAATTATGTATAACTGGGAAATAATGCTTAGTACCGAGTGGAAATGGACAATGAGGAAAAGGCCCCTCCACTAATGCAATAGGTTGGGTCATCTATAGTAAACTCATGAGATGGAATCTCCTCCGCTAATGCAATAGGTTGGGTTTCTAGTAGCAATCTCCCTATCCCATAACTATGTGCCAAACATAGGACTTAGCTAGTGGATCCACTTAGAAGCTAAATATGATTAGTTCTACCTTCGGCAAGTAAGAACGCCTTCTTTCGGTGTGGGGTTATATGACACAGGATTCCATGTAGCTCACATGATCTATGTCGGTTATGACTAATATTCCCTAATAACAATAAGATAATGAATATGATAGGAACTATACTATGACTTCTTAATGGGTTTACTTGGTAGAAGTGGGGGTATGGGACTTCACTTTTACATTGCACAAGGAAACTTATTAGGATGTTGTCGAATGGTTTCCTTATGGTATGATAAGATATGAATAGATGACTTTCCTTATGTTTAGTTGAGTTAATATCTCAAAAGGTCACTCAACTTTGAAAATTTATCTAGTAAAGTCATTAAACTTTTTTTTTGTATCAATAAAATCACTCAACTTATGCATTTATATCAATAAAATTACTCAACTTAAACATTTATGTCAATAAAATCACTCAACCAAATTTATCATTAAAAAAATAAAATAAATTATTTTTTATATCTAATCACAATTAAAATAATAAATAAATAGCTTAAATTACTACTTTATTACAAAATAAAATATTAATAGATAATTTCATTTGATAAATTAATACTGCTCCATTTGATAAATTAATACTGCTTCATTGCAATGATGCCTACCACTTGATCTGATAGTTTAGTCAATTTCAATAATTTATCAATTTCATTTGATAAATTACTATTGCTTCATTTGACGGTATAACAACATTTGTTGTGATGATTTAATCAATTTCTTGTTTGAGTGAATAACAACTTGGAGAATTTTAGGTTCAAGTTTGATAAATTTATCTTTTATTTTTAATTTATATTATTTTATAATGAAATAGTAATTTTGAGTCATTTATTTAGTAGTTTAATCATGAACGTAATATAAAAAATAATTTATTTGTGGTGTAATTTTTGTAATGATGAATATGATTGGGTGATTTTATTGATACAAAGAATTAAGTTAAGTGATTTTTTTGATACAAAATAAAGTTTAATGACTTTATTAGATAAATTTCTAAAGTTGAGTGACCTTTTGAGATATTAACTCTGTTTAGTTTATGTACTTGTATAATTCCTCATTTATGACTATGGATCATGGTAAGCTTGAAGATTATGGAAATGAATATGTGGCTTCAAGGAATGCTTAGTAAGGTTGGTATTATGGGATGCCAACCATACATTGCACAAGTGTTCTTAGAGGTTGCTAAGGTATTGATATTACTATGTTATGAGTGTATTGTGACTATAGCTTGTCTTCTATGTTTGAAAATGTGTATTGACTTTCCAAACTTAATGTATGAAAGTCCTCTAAATGCATGAATATGTCCTAAATGAATCTAATGAAGAATGTTGGCTTAAATGCTTAAATGTAAAGATGCATGCTATACTTGGATTGTATTATGAGTTACTTCCTTGTCATGTATATTCCATATGAATGTGCCTTGTCTATGGTGACTTCAAAGGAGTACTTAGTGTGAGTAGTAGTATGGGATGCTACTTGCACATTGCACAAGTATGACTTAGAGTTGTCTTAGATGTTGGTCTTAATGTGATGATGTGATTCATGTAATGTTTATGTCTCTTAAATGCTTTATTGTGTAAAGGTGGAAAGGATGAATGGTAAGTTCACTTTTGGGTGACCTTAAGATGGTGCCTTAGTGTGGGTGGTGGTATGGGACGCTACCCATACATTGCACAAGGCATAGCTTGAGGGTTACTTGAGGTGGAGGCTCAAGGTAAAGGTAAAGGGTTATATGTGATTTTGGTCAAATATGAATTATGTGACTTTGTATGTTGGTTGTGACTTATATTATGCCTCTTGTATCAATGTTCATGAAGTTTTACAAAAATGGCATAAAGCATGACTTTCAACAAAATGCCCCTTTTTAAAGCATGTTTTTG